GTTTGCTTGTCGTGATATTTCAACTCCAGAATTATAGAATTTACACCCAGTCTGGAGCACACCAGGCGGACCGATGCGGTCGTGCGTTCTTGTACTATATCCTGCGATAGTAAGACCGCAAGGAATGACATTAGCTAGAAATTGTCTTTTGAAGTTCAAGAAGTTGGTTGTGCAGGTATGTAGCATGTTAGTTGTAGATGTCGGCTTCAGTGACCTAATGGAAAGTTGCTCATGTGGGAAAAAGACCCCACTAGAACAGATGAATTTGAAATCTTTTAGTCGCATATGAGTGGGGGACATTCTCTTGAAATTTCAACCTCCCAGCTTTTCTCGTTTCCGAGTTATCAGTTTTCGCGCCGAAACTTTCACGTATCCGTGACGTGGGTACCACTCGTGCCGGGGGCTAAATTTGAAACCTTTGAATTGCCCCTAACATTTCAGCCTCTTAGTTTTTCTGATTGCACAGTTAGCAGTTTTCCTGCCGAATCTTTCACGCGCCCGGACGTGAGAAAAAAAAAGGTAGGTGTAAAGCAACAACCATTCATGCAGTTAATGACCTGAGTACTTCAAGTCTGATGCAAAAAAGCATGATCGCACTGGTAAGCCTGGTGTGTTTCAACCTGGGTTGCATTTGCATGCAAGCACAAACGCATAAAAACTGAGATTTTAGGAGCGCTTTCCCAGGTCAAACAAGATTCCAGAAAAAGTAATGGCTACTTCCACGCCTTTTGGCATCCTAGCATATAATGAACATATGCAGGCTTACCTTCTGCTTCTATGCAAAGCACCACCACAGTCGTAACATGCAACAGCAGTGTTATTTCTGTGATAGAAGACCGCCCGTACAGGCGCCAGAATGAAAGGATTTTTCTAAGATACTTCTATGTGCAAAAAATTTCCCACTGACATATTTTACGCTAAAACGAGGACATTAAAGCAAGGCAGTGGGGTAAATTAGGTCATTCTTCCCCAGGTAAAAATCTGTTGATGCGAGATATTCATATAAAGACGGTGACCAGTTTTACACTTGCGTAAACCTCTGGATAAGCAATTGTATGTTACGCAGTACTGAAACAGCTCTATGTTGTTTGAAAAAAAAAAAAAATATCAAGAAATGATCCCAGTCCAAAGTTTTGTTGCAAAACACAACTGCATGTCACGAGCACTTGCGGGCTGTTCTGCTACTACCACCTTAGTTTTGTTCCAGAAGTCGGAAAAAAAAACCGCGAGAGTTTGCTAGTAAATTTGAAATGTCAAAAAAGGCACGGTGATTTCTGTTCGTGCGCCCTTCTAATCACTGTGAATATAATTCGTAAGTGAATTCGGAAGAACCTAAGCTCTAACAGATCCTAGTGGGAGCTTTACAGTTAGGAATAACACACAGTTCTTTTGAACTACGTTTAGAAAACAATTTAATAATAATAATCAAACTCAAAGGAAAATAATTAATTTTAAATATTATTTCAGATTTAGAAGTCACCCAAAACAGACTTGTGAGGCATTAGGTCACAGTTCCATTTAATCCGTGGAGCAGTATAATTTTTAGCATCGCGCTGTTTGAAAACGCAACGTCGTCAAGAAGCTGTCCACCTAGACCACTCGACTGAACTTCGTTCAACCTTCATATTAAGGGTTGACTGTCCTTTAGTTTTATTCCCAAATTTAAATAAAGAAAATGCATGCACGACCATTTTGGGCTGCTGAGATCTGCTTGGGCAAAATTTCATCGCGTCTTGATACTACGCGAATCGCTCTCATGGTCGCAGCAGAATGCGGTGCCCGAATGCGCTTCTTACAACACTGTCAAAGCAGAAGAAATTGCAGAAGCAATTACGCGACCGTAAACTTGTTGGGAGTT